TGGCTTTATAGGTAATATTTTCACGTACACAATTTAGCAAAATCAGACAATGTTGTATCTAATATATACCACAATATAAACTTATCATTATTGAATTGTTATAAATAAATATCACATTTGCAACTCAAGTGTTCAAAAAATGCTGGGAAATCACTTCATGTAGCCCTACAAGAGTGATTACTGATAAACTGTCTGAAAAAAAAGAAAGTCACGTTATAGAGAAGAAAAAAATCACCCACTGACTAACAACCACTAATAAAGTTGATAAAATGAGTGGAAAAAACACCCTAGCAACTGCATACCAACTGCCTAGCAACTTCCAAAGCATCTTACTCGTGACTTTTGCACAGGCAAGCATCACTCATATTTTTGGAAAAGTAGTCAAAATCATGTTAATTAATATTTATAATAGTTTTCGTTTAAATAAATATTTCATAAATATTTCCCCCCAACCAAGCTACATTCAGTGTTTTTAATGTTACCTGAAAATAAACCTAAATTAAAAAAACGTTTTTGGTCATTGAAATAAAGAAGAAAAAATAATAATAATTAAATTAGAAATCTTGTCTTGACAACTAACTGAAGTAAGTTTAAAGTACTAAAATTACTAAAAATATATTTAGAGCAAAATTTGACATTAAAATGAAACCTGAAAATAAATATAAAGACTAATTCAAAATTATTCAAAATATTAATACATGCTATAATAGTATATAAACATAGTATATAAATCAATTAATAAATACTATAATAGTGTATACATTATACTAAATTATCTCTGGTCACATCTGCAAAAATATTGCTTCAGAAGCAAATAAAGTTATTTTGATGCAAGATTAAGGTAACAAACTTTTTTCTTCAGAATAACATGCACTATAAGACACTATATTGTGCACAATAAGACCAGGAACAATGAATAAGTAAATAGAGATAATTTTGCTTTCATATGGTCTTCAAGTTAACTTGATCTTACACTCAATTATACATTACTGTATACCCATTCGATTACATATAAGATTTGCCAGAAGTATTTCTGTGTGTGTGTGTGTGTGGGATGCTGGTCTGACCATTGACGTTCCAGATGTTGAGGAGTTTGTTCTGGAAGGCAGCCAGTAGAGTTCCCTCTGCGCTCCACGATACGGCGGACAGCAGATGAGATCCCATTGAACCATCTGAGCTCTGAGCGTCCTCACTGCAGAGACCACACACACAAACACAGACCTGTCAGTGCCCAAAACATTCATTTGCATCCATCTCCCATCAGACCTATGAAACATTTGGATTTCTCCCTTTCCCAATCAAAGAGATGAAAAACAAGCAGTCTCACCTGACGCTGCAGGTGTGTGTGTGCTGTAGTTCTGCTGTGTTTGGCGTTATGGCCCACAGTCGAACGGTCCCATCCTGTGCACCGGTGGCTAACAGCCCTTGTTCTGCATTCCAGCTGCAGCTGCTCACCTACAAACACAACAGCCAATCAGAAACAAGTCAAGACATTTGGTAATGCCTTGGAGAAACTTATTGGCCAGGTTGATTAATTTAGCCATTTTGAGAAATTATTAGCTTAGTTTTATACATACATGCATGGCAAAAATGACAAAAGCACATAGCAAAATGAAAACTGAAAACACATACTAAATTATAGAATAGAATAGAATATCTAACTTAATGTATATATGCTGATTTCCACTTCAGTGGAAACCATGATACTTTCTTCAGGAGTCTTTGATGAAGAGAAAGTTACAAAGAGCAGATTTTAAATTAGACAAATCTTTTGAACCATTATAAACGTCTTTACTGTCACTTTTGATCAATTTAATGCATCCTTGCTGGGAAAAAAAAAATAAAAAATGAATAAATTATATATATATAATTTTTTTTATCCTACAGAAATCATAAATAATTGTTGAACAAAAAGTATATATTAAATACATAATTTTATTTAAATATTGTAAATATTGGTTAGGCATTTTACAATTGTGTCTATTAGCAGCTGTGTACCAATGAATTAACTAGTTGCAAGACATCTAGTATGTTTCTTTAAGTGTTTCTACTGTATCAACATGCTCTTTACCCTGTTCTGATGTCCTTCCAGCTTCTTGATGGGACACTTGTGCAGATCTCCAGCCATGTCGCTGTATGTCTGGGGTCTGGCGGTGTTGTCTTTCTCAGAGACTGCCAGGGCCTGGACCAGCTGTTGTGCCGCCCATTGTCGGTGTCTGCTGGTCAGCCTGGCCGACAGGGCACAGGCAGCGAGCGCATTAGCCAGCTCCAGCGGTCCGACCCGCAGCCCCGCTTGAGAGAGTGGGGGACCTGCGGGTGGAGGGCTTCCGCCTTCTGTCCAAAGACATGTGGAGTTAATTAGGATACATTAATTCCAAATCATTAATTGCCATTTAAAAATTATATATGGGTACCTAAGTGAGTCACTAGAATTAAAATCAGCAGGGTTCCCAAAACTTTTGACCACTGTTCATGACTTTTCCATAAGATTTCCAGTCATTCATGATTACTGGTTATTTAATTATTTGCTTGTTTGTTTGTTTATTATTTTTGTAGACTGCATTCTCAAGGAATAACTTCTAACCAATGACATATTTTAGAGATAAGCATAACTAGAAAATATTTACATTCACTACAGACCTTTCCTTATGATTTCAGATTTTTCTATGACTTTTCCAGACCTGGTAATCATATATAAAATTCCCTCTGATACTTCAATAAACTGTTTAAGCAAAAAAAATAACATTTTGATACTTACAGGATTTCCATGACAGTGAGATTTATGAAAAGTCAATAAAAACAAAAAATAAATTCCTAAGACTTCCATGATAGTGAGATAGTGAGTTTTTTATTTAATTTTTATATTTTACTATAAATATTGTAATGTGACCATTAACTGAAAAGGAACCATGAATTTACGAATGTCTTGTTAAAAGATTGTAATTATTGTTAAAATAAATATTAACTTTAAATGTAATAAAAATGTCAAATTAAAATAAATCAAAAAATGAAAATATCCTTGCAGGATTTACATGACAGTGGGATTTATAAAAATTTCACATATACATACATACATACATACATACATACATACATATATATATATATATATATATATACACACACAATTAAATAATAAAATGTAAACAAATAATTTGAAAAAATATTAATATATTATTAAATAATAAAATGTAAACACTTAAATAATTTTAAAATTATTAAAATAAATTGTATTAATATTTCATATTTTACTATACATATTTTATTTGTTTACCTGCATGTCATGTGACCATTAACTGGCAATAAAAAAAAAAATAAATAAAAAAAATTTGCGTTGCTCAGTTTTTGAAATATTAACTTAAAATGTCAGGAGGTACTTCAATTCAATATTTCAGGTCCAAGGGGTTTTGGAAGACAACAAAGTTTGGAAATCGCTGCTCTAAAATAAACAAAATGTTTCTGAAACATTTAAAACAGATGTACTTTTTTTAGTCTAGAAAATATATATATTTTTTTGTTACCCTTTGATTCACTGGATTCACTTCTTTCCACATTATAACGGTATCGGACACCTTTTTCTGTCAGGAGAGACACTAGACTCTGTGTGACCAGGAAGGTGGGCGGGGTTAGTTCTCTTGGCTCCTGTGACGCCCCCTTGAGGACGGAGCTTTGCCTCACCCTCTGCTGCGGATCGGTGATAGCGCTGATGTTCATCCCTGTAGCTGCTGCCATGAGATCCTGAGAGGAAGGACATGCAGGTGAGACAGCATGATTAGGCAGAATACAGGATGATTAAACGAGCTGAAAGTAGAGGATGATAAAGAGCGTAGCAAGGATAATGAGGTGAGAAACATTAACGGAGGAGACAAGAAAGATGGATGGGAAGGAGGAGAGAGAGAGAGAGAGAGAGAGAGTGCGTACCTGAGTGCAGATGTCCACTAACTCTCTGTAGGCAGCAGGACTGTGGGACACTAAACTGCCGATAGCTGAGCTGAGGAAGGACAAGAAGGCGGAGCCTGTGCGATCGCTCACAAAGCCACGCCCCACTCCCTGCTGGTCCACGCTTGTGTGGACACGCCCCCCCGCTGCCAGACACATCAGCCGCACCAGGATACGGATGTCAGCCAGACCAAGAGCCTCCAGACCACTGGACTGATTACACACCGAACTACTGAAACACACAGTGACAGACAAAGTTTTGAAGAGACATATCATATTGCACAGCAACAATGTGTATATACATATACACAAACATATATGAAACCTAAAAACATTGCAATGTAACAAAAGTAATGACAGATTACTACTTCTGTATTACGTACATCTGACACAGATTATTGAAGAAAAAAAAAAAATAATAATAATTAAGGGCTCTTCATAAAGATTTTGAATAGACAAGTTAGTCAAATAAATTGAAGGGAATTTCAAGGGAAGAGTAACACATTTGTGATTAATGAGTATGATGTTGATGAGTGAATGATGGAACTCTGCAAGGCTCAGAGTCCGAGCAGGTCAGACAGACATTGATGGAGCCTTCGCAGTATGAAATGTCAGATTCGATGTGAAGGAGATCACAGAGCAGATGATATATTTTGTGCCGAGGGAAGTCAGGAATGAGTGGTTGTTACCTGGTGGAGGTCTGTGAGAGAGCTCTCATCACCATACTGTAGGCCAGCAGGATCTGAGCGGTGGAGGTGACTCTCCTTAGAGCCAACAGTCTCTCCTGGGGCTCCCGCAGGGATGCTGCCTGCTCCCCGAGACTCAGAGGAACCGAGAAGCTCTTCAGCTCGGTGCTGACAACACCTACACACAGAAACAAATGACAACCTGCTCTAATTTACTGAGATTTTAGAAAGCTCTTGTAGGAAATATGAAACTAAATGAGAACATTACCTTTGTAAAGCAGGTTGTTGTTGCCGCTGACCGAGCCACTGACGAGAGATCCGAGTGGGTCGTGTTCAGTGAAGGGGATTGGGTCGGGCACGGGCTTCTTCTCACTCAGACCCAAAGGTCTCAGAAGAATCCCAAAGTCCTCCAAACCTGTAAGCCGGTCTGAGTCCGAGTCTTCCTGGTTACCTAGATCCCACTCATCTAATACAGACACATTTAAATCATTACGCATTTATTTAATAAACTGCACAGTGTTTGTTATTTAAAAGTTTGCACAAATACCTTCCGATGTACCATCTAATTGACCAATTAGATCAGACACCAAACCTCTTGCCCTGAAAAAACAACATCTGGGTTGTTATACAGCAAAAGTCAATGGCTACAACATGTTCATTGTTTCCTCATCTTCACCTGTCCTGTTTGGAGCTCATAACCCCCAGGTTGGAGGACAGGTACTTTTCCCTGCATGCAGTGCACAGGAGGTAGTATGGGCTGCCCGATCCGCATTCGCCTCCGAACCAGCCGTCCACGTAGGTGCCGTTGCTGCGGTAACCACGGCGACCGGCGCTCTGACCACAGCCTGGGTGGTGACGCTTCATGTGGTTGTTGAACTGCAGGGTGAGAGTGTTACACAGCTCACACTCCACCATCTCATTGGGCTCTGGGTGCTCTTCTCTTCCCTGAGACAAAAAGAGACGCGTGTTCACTCAACACTGAGATACAGCGAGAGAGAAAAGAAAAACACATTCATAAATGGACAAATAATATTAAAAGAAAAACAGACAGATAGAATAATAAAACAAACAAAAGAATTCACACAGAACGATAAAATAAATTATAAATAGGATGGAAAAAATGATAGACGACTGAATAATATGATAGATAGAACAATAGATACAACCCCAATTCCCAAAATGTTGTAAAATGCAATAAAAATAAAGAATCTGTGATTTGTTAATTCTCTTTAACCTTAATTTAATTGACAAAAGTACAAAGAAAAGACAGTGAAAAGGTTTTCACTGACCAACCGAATTGTATTTTGTAAGCATAAACAAATTTTGATTTTGATGGCTGCAACACACTCCAAAAATGTTGGGACACAGGCATGTTTACCACTGTGTCATATCAACTTTTCTTTTAATTACAATGTTTAATTGTTTGAGAATTTGAGGATATCGTTAAAGTTTTGCATGCAAAATTTGTATCCAATCTTGCTTGATACAAGATTTCAGCTGCTCATCAGTCTGTAGTCGTTATTGTCTAATTCTCATTTTCATGATGGGCCACACATTTTCAATAGGAGACAGATCTGCTGGCCAGTCAGTCACATTCACTCTGTGTCCACAAAAGTACGCTGTTGTAGCACATGCAGAACGAGACCTGCTATTGTCTTGATCTAATAACCATGGATTTCCCATGAAAGACGTCATCATGATGGCAGTTGTATGATGCTGTACAATTCCAATATATGCCTCCATGTCAATGGTACCGTCGCACATATTCCAGTCACCCATGCCGTTTGCTCTGCTGCACCCCCATACCATGACAGACGCTTGCTTTCGCATCTGTCACTGATGAAAGTCTGGATGGTCCCTTTGGTCTTTGGGACTGAGAACTCTACATCCATTTTTCCCAGAAACAAGTTGAAACGTGGACTCATCTGACAACAGCACACATTTCCACTGTCTTTTTGACTATCTGAGATTATCTCTGGCCCAGAGAACCCTGCGGCATCACTGCATAGAATTGATGTATAGTTTTATCCTAGAATAACAGAGATTCAAGTTGCATTTATTGATGCAGCGGCAGTCTGTGGTAAATAACAGCGGTTTTCTGAAGTACTCCTGAGCCCATGTGGCTATATTTAACACCGCAGCATGACGGTTTCTTATGCAATGCCATCTGAGGACTCAAAAGTCATGTGCATTCACCTAAGGTTTCCTGCCTTGCCCTACACAGACTGAGATTTCTCTGGATTCTCGGAATCTTTTCACAATATTATGTACGGTATTTGGTGAAAGACCTAAATTCTTTGCGATTTTGCATTGAGAAATGTGATTTTTGTTTTATTTGACACTTGTCTCATAAAATTTGGCACAAAGTGGCTTTGCTGGCAAAGACTGAGATACTCCTTTAATACCCAAACATGATCCCCTCACCTATTACTAATTCACCGGCTTATTGTGGACTGTTTCAAAACAGTTTATTTGGGATATTCTATAACCTTTTCACTATTATTTTGCCTCTGTCCCAACTTTTTTGAAGTGTGTTCCAGCCATTAACATCAAAATGTGTTCATATTTACAAAATGCATTTAAGCTGGTCAGTGAAAACATTGGAAATCTTTTTGGTAACACTTTATTTTATGGTGTCCTTGTTACACATTTTACATGTACTTAGTATAGTAATAACAAGAAATTATGCATAATTACATGCAACTAACCCTAAACCAAACCCTCATTCTAACCCTAACCATATAGTAGGTACATGTAGTTACTTAATATTACTCAGTACTTAAATGTATATATACACTGTAACAAGGACACTCTAAAATAAAGTGTAACCAACTTTTCTTTGTACTTTTGTCAATTAAATAAAAGTTACAGGTTCTTGATTTCACTGCATTTTACAAAACGTCCCAACTTTTTTGGAATTGGGGTTGTAGATAGAAGGAATGATAGAATGATAGAAAAACAGAATAAATGACAGAACGATAAATAGAAGGAATGACAGAATTATAGATAGAACAACATAATTAAAGGCAGACAGAATGAGAGAATGTGAATGAGAGAACGATAGATAGGATAGATAGAACGATAGAACAACAGATAGACTGTAAACAGACATACAACAGAACGATATATATAACAAACGAAAGAACTATAGGTAGAAAGAATGGTAGATAAAACGATAGATAGGAAAAAACAACAGATAAAACAAACGATAGACAGACAGAAAGACAGACAGTGTCGCCAATACCTCTACCATCCACAGCGTGTCTCTCTCAGAGGTGATGAACTCTGGGGTGAGCAGCTCCTCATACGGTTCTTCCTGGTACGGATCATCCATGTAGCCCAGCTCTGAGTCGTCTTCAGCAGCAAAGGGGTGCGTTTCAGCCCGCTCTGGCCACTCTGCCACTCCCACATCCTGTCTGTACAGCGATGGGACAGGACTGGGCGACGGGGAGTCTGAAACAAACCAGACAGATGAGCAAACTCATCCTTGCTGAATTAAAAAAAAAATTTTTTAAAGACACCAAACTTTTGAATGTTACTGTATGCGACTCTGACCTGCTCTCCTGACTCGGAATCTTTTCACAATATTATGTACGGTATTTGGTGAAAGACCTAAATTCTTTGCGATTTTGCATTGAGAAATGTGATTTTTGTTTTATTTGACACTTGTCTCATAAAATTTGGCACAAAGTGGCTTTGCTGGCAAAGACTGAGATACTCCTTTAATACCCAAACATGATCCCCTCACCTATTACTAATTCACCGGCTTATTGTGGACTGTTTCAAAACAGTTTATTTGGGATATTCTATAACCTTTTCACTATTATTTTGCCTCTGTCCCAACTTTTTTGAAGTGTGTTCCAGCCATTAACATCAAAATGTGTTCATATTTACAAAATGCATTTAAGCTGGTCAGTGAAAACATTGGAAATCTTTTTGGTAACACTTTATTTTATGGTGTCCTTGTTACACATTTTACATGTACTTAGTATAGTAATAACAAGAAATTATGCATAATTACATGCAACTAACCCTAAACCAAACCCTCATTCTAACCCTAACCATATAGTAGGTACATGTAGTTACTTAATATTACTCAGTACTTAAATGTATATATACACTGTAACAAGGACACTCTAAAATAAAGTGTAACCAACTTTTCTTTGTACTTTTGTCAATTAAATAAAAGTTACAGGTTCTTGATTTCACTGCATTTTACAAAACGTCCCAACTTTTTTGGAATTGGGGTTGTAGATAGAAGGAATGATAGAATGATAGAAAAACAGAATAAATGACAGAACGATAAATAGAAGGAATGACAGAATTATAGATAGAACAACATAATTAAAGGCAGACAGAATGAGAGAATGTGAATGAGAGAACGATATATAGGATAGATAGAACGATAGAACAACAGATAAACTGTAAACAGACATACAACAGAACAATATATATAACAAACGAAAGAACTATAGGTAGAAAGAATGGTAGATAAAACGATAGATAGGAAAAAACAACAGATAAAACAAACGATAGACAGACAGAAAGACAGACAGTGTCGCCAATACCTCTACCATCCACAGCGTGTCTCTCTCAGAGGTGATGAACTCTGGGGTGAGCAGCTCCTCATACGGTTCTTCCTGGTACGGATCATCCATGTAGCCCAGCTCTGAGTCGTCTTCAGCAGCAAAGGGGTGCGTTTCAGCCCGCTCTGGCCACTCTGCCACTCCCACATCCTGTCTGTACAGCGATGGGACAGGACTGGGCGACGGGGAGTCTGAAACAAACCAGACAGATGAGCAAACTCATCCTTGCTGAATTAAAAAAAATTTTTTTTAAAGACACCAAACTTTTGAATGTTACTGTATGCGACTCTGACCTGCTCTCCTGAAGGAAGTTCTCTGACTTACTCCGGACCGCTGCCTCCGCGCAGGTGGAGGTCTGTTCCTGGTGAGGTGAACATCTAAGAAGTTCTCTCTCTCCACCAAGTCCAAGCCTGCCAACAGACTGGAAAGCACATCGGGAATACACACAATGAATAATTGGAAATGAGCCCATGTGGTGTGCTCTGTTTATACCACAGTGTTTGGCAAATTTAGTAGGTCGGTGTGATCTTGCAAACATGACATTTGTATACTGTGCTACTATACATACTGTAAACTAGAAATAGAAAGAGTAGTATGGTACCAAAAGCAGACACCGAAGCCAAGTGTTGGTCAGGACTTAATATGCTGGATTAATATGCAAGAGATCAGCTATCACTGGTTAGGATGTAGAGAATGTGTGAATTCACCTCTCGTTGGGTTCTCTGCTCTCTTGTAGGGTCAGAGGAGCTGGAGACTCAGGGCACTGGACCGTCTCTGGCCCTTCAGATGAGGGCGTATCAGTGGCGCCCCCTGCAAACGAGCCCTCTCCTGCCTGCTGCTCCTCTGTGATGGGATGTTCCAGCATCCAGCTCGCCAACACCTCGATGGTGCGTGAGTCCACCTCTCCAGTGACCCCTGAGTGAGGTCACAAAGAGGTCAGGGAGAATACTCAAAAAAATGTTTAGACACACTTGACTGAATGAATGTTTCTCGTGATCTTAAAAACTATTTGGTCTGAAGGTATATAATTAATACTTGAAATTTGTCAAATATAAACTTTCTTTTGAAATATTTCATTTTATTTTAAAAACGAACATAATGGAAGCAGACTTGTTGGACTAGAAATCTATGGAAGCTTGTTTCTACCATGGGATAATAATTGCAACATTTTATTATACAATTCAGACTTTTTTCCTCACAATTCTGTTTATATCTCACAATTACGAGAAAAAAAAAAAATGAAATTTGAGATAAAACGTCACAATTTTGTTTCTGTGGCAGAAACAAAAAACAGAATATAAAAGTCAGAATTCTGAATTTATATCTCTCTGATCAGTACTGATAGATAAAACTAAATAATTGACTTATTTTAAAAGTTGGCTTTGCTAACAAAAAATAAAAAATATATAATTAAATTTTTGTGTAAATATGCAATAAAAATAATTATTACAAATACATACAAAATATTTATATAAATAAGCTGAATTTTGTTGAACTGTGAACAGAGTCTGTTCCTGGTGAGGTGAACATCTAAGAAGTTCTCTCTCTCCACCAAGTCCAAGCCTGCCAACAGACTGGAAAGCACATCGGGAATACACACAATGAATAATTGGAAATGAGCCCATGTGGTGTGCTCTGTTTATACCACAGTGTTTGGCAAATTTAGTAGGTCGGTGTGATCTTGCAAACATTACATTTGTATACTGTGCTACTATACATACTGTAAACTAGAAATAGAAAGAGTAGTATGGTACCAAAAGCACACACCGAAGCCAAGTGTTGGTCAGGACTTAATATGCTGGATTAATATGCAAGAGATCAGCTATCACTGGTTAGGATGTAGAGAATGTGTGAATTCACCTCTCGTTGGGTTCTCTGCTCTCTTGTAGGGTCAGAGGAGCTGGAGACTCAGGGCACTGGACCGTCTCTGGCCCTTCAGATGAGGGCGTATCAGTGGCGCCCCCTGCAAACGAGCCCTCTCCTGCCTGCTGCTCCTCTGTGATGGGATGTTCCAGCATCCAGCTCGCCAACACCTCGATGGTGCGTGAGTCCACCTCTCCAGTGACCCCTGAGTGAGGTCACAAAGAGGTCAGGGAGAATACTCAAAAAAATGTTTAGACACACTTGACTGAATGAATGTTTCTCGTGATCTTAAAAACTATTTGGTCTGAAGGTATATGATTAATACTTGAAATTTGTCAAATATAAACTTTCTTTTGAAATATTTCATTTTATTTTAAAAACGAACATAATGGAAGCAGACTTGTTGGACTAGAAATCTATGGAAGCTTGTTTCTACCATGGGATAATAATTGCAACATTTTATTATACAATTCAGACTTTTTTCCTCACAATTCTGTTTATATCTCACAATTACGAGAAAAAAAAAATATGAAATTTGAGATAAAACGTCACAATTTTGTTTCTGTGGCAGAAACAAAAAACAGAATATAAAAGTCAGAATTCTGAATTTATATCTCTCTGATCAGTACTGATAGATAAAACTAAATAATTGACTTATTTTAAAAGTTGGCTTTGCTAACAAAAAATAAAAAATATATAATTAAATTTTTGTGTAAATATGCAATAAAAATAATTATTACAAATACATACAAAATATTTATATAAATAAGCTGAATTTTGTTGAACTGTGAACAGAGCATTCATAACACAAAATAAGACTTCATGCAGTGCTCCACTAATATTTCCCATGATTCAGCTGAGTGTTTCAGTGGAGAAGAACAATGAGGAGTGAATTGAAGCAGGATCTCATAGGGAAGTGTAATGAGTGTATCTACTGCAATAACAGCATCATCAGCAATCAACAGTAAATAATTAGAGACTAAAAGAAAAAAAATAATCAAAAGTACAAAACTCAACATAATTATCCATCTCTTCTAGTTGTGAATAACTGCACTGCAGTCACTGGTTTCTTAAAGGGGTCCTATTATGCTTTTTCACTTTTTCAACTTTAGTTAGTCTGTAATGTTGCTGTTTGAGCATAAAAAAGATATCTGTGAAGTTACAAAGCTCAAAGTCCAATTCAAAAGGAGATATTTTATTTAACAGAAATCACTTTTCAAAAACTACAACGAACGACTCGTTTGGACTACAGCGCATATTTTGCGGGATTTGTGACATCACAAATATCGACGAATGGGACGAGACCTGGTTGAGCTGCACTAGAGAAAGCAACGATTGTTATCACTATGTCAGAGACACGCTAGCTTTCCCAAGGCAGACAAACTTAGAGTAGTTACAATCATCCGGGTTTAAATCACGCTCAAATTGATTTGATTTTGACGCAATATTTACACTGAAGCTCACAGACGGCTATGGTAAGGGGCGTGACATTTCCCAACCCGGCGCCGAGTGCTGCCAATCACAACACACACTGGCCCAGCTAACCAATCACAGCACACACTGGCCCAGCTAACCAATCACAGCACACACTGGCCCAGCTAACCAATCACAGCACACACTGGCCCAGCTAACCAATCACAGCACACACTGGCCCAGCTAACCAATCACAGCACACACTGGCCCAGCTAACCAATCACAGCACATTTCGTATTTCAGAAGGCGGGCCTTCATTTGATACAGGAACTATTCGAGCCGTTCATGCCAGACTGGGGAGAGAGGTGTTGTAATAATGTAAAATATGTGAAAAATGTGTTTTTCGAACAACCTAGTATGAGAGCCTATTCTAGTACACCCCCAAAACAAAATCAAGACTTTGTAAAAGGGCACAATAGGACCCCTTTAATCTTTGAAAATTCCATATAACATTGTAACATGATCGTCTCCTTTAGCAGGTAAGAATGAGTCTGGCTAGATGTTGCAAGCACTCGCTGGTACCTGCTGCCTCCATGGCCCTGTAGATGTGTCTCATTGAGAAGCCCATTTCAAGCAAGCGCACTGGGACAAACATTTGGGGCTGTTCTGAAGGACAGAAATTAAAATATTCAGTGATGCATCAAAACGTATCTGGACTGGGCTGACTGATGCAGTCAGTCAGGTGAATATGATTTTTTTTTAATGATTTATTTAGACAATATCTGCATTCAAAAAATAAAGCACTGTGCTAGAGAAGGCAAGGGAACTTATTGGTCAACAAAATGACACATGGACTACAAATTCCATTACTTATTTATTTTTTTACACTTAATAAAGTTCAATATCTGAGGCCACTTTGAAAATCAGGATTTTAAAAAAAATTTACATTAAATAGTTTCATATAAAATGTAATATAATATAATTACAAATATTCAGAAAATGATAAATAAATGAGGGTAATATTTCTAAGTCACTAATCAAATTTGTGTTATTAAAAAACAAACTAAGACATTCTGAAATTTTACTTTAATTATATTAATTTTTATATATTAATTTTAAGTATTTTTCAATTTACCTTTCACACAGACTGATACACTGATAATATAATTCAATATATTAAGTGTAATATAAAAATATAATAAAAAAATTATAATTTAAAAGCAATATTTTTCAGTAATAGAGTTTTAGACCCCAGTGCATAAAAAATATAAATATATGTATAAAAGAAATTGGTAATTTATTGTGAGATTCAAGGTGCCATTCAATAGGGTGTAAAGATGCACAAAAAATGTTTGCAATCGGTAAGTACAATATGTAACAAACCAAAAAATCTTTCCAAAGCAAGACTCAAGTGTAAAACATGCACAGGCATCAGGTTTAAGTTAAAGGGTTACATTTCTCAAGCTCTCCCACCTGGTGCTACATAAACCAGTCTTGACATAAGTTTCTAAAAACAAATTAAATAAATCGCTGGAACATCATCCGCTGACCAGATGAACTGTGTCCATGGATGCCACATGCAGGACATCTACTTACTACGCCCTTGTATTCCACAGTTTGTCTGGACGTCTTACCCACGGGGGTCCTGGTCTGTCCGCAGGGCTCCAGGAAGCTGGTCTGTTGCTCAGTGAAGCCCTCACAGGACGCTGAGCTCGTCAGGCTGAGCCCGGGGGGCAGAACCGGACTGTGGACGAGACCTGCCAATGTGGGAAAACGCGCCAGCACCATCCGCCTAGAGGAGCCCAGCCACACACACATGCACACACAGACACAGGAGAACCGCTAGCACCTGCTCTAGAGCAAACCTTCAGCTTGAGCATGTGTTATGTTGAGGTGTAAATCACCCTTGTGTCATTAAGCCATGCTCAGACACTTGAAGTTAAGAGGAGCATGTGTTTATAAGGTTATAACACACACAGTCACGGATTTATACACACACACTCACCTGTATTCTCACTCACACTCTCAGTAACCTGTGTGTGAGTGTGTGTCTCAGTTGATGGCGATCTGGAGTGTGAACATCCAGACATAGAACATCCAGACATCCAGTCAGAGAGTTTACCGTGTGTGTGTGTGTGTGTGTGTGTTTGAGACAGTCTGAAACACTGTCTCATATCCCTTTCTTTCAAATTGACATTAAATGGCACAGTTATTTAAAAAACCATACACGTATTACGTGCCAGAACAATTACCTTTCAGATGTTACATAAAGTTCATCAAAAAATTGCCATTACTTTAAAGTACTTTATAATTACTTCACTAATTCATAGGTTCCTTTATTATACACTTTTTACATTTTAATAATTGGGCTTGGATGAAAAAGAAACTCACTGTAGCAGGTTGATGGGCAGAAAAGGGTTAAAGTTCTCCAGGCCGTCAGCCTGCAGGGCGGTGAGGAGCGAGGCTGTGAGGTCATTGGTGGAGGGTGAAGCTGATTGGCCGAAGATGGCGGTGCCTTCAGAGCCGTTGCTGTAAAGCGACACTGAACTGGAGGACTTGGACACGGGCTGAGAGGACGGGTGCCCTCCTGAATCTATGTACACAGACACAAATCAACAAGTAGTCAAATTAATTAATATACAAAAAACAAATATTAAAATTAAAAATCTATATTATTATTAGTAGTAGTAGTAGTAGTAGTTATTACACAGACTTTTGCCTTTCTAAGCTATATGAAATATTACTACTACTATTAAATTATTATATTACATTTACTCAATTAAATTACTAAATATTTTAATTAGTAAGTAAATAAAAAATATACTAATGATGATGATTTTTGTATATTTTGTGTCTTATTTTTACAGACTTTAGCCTTTTTATTATTTTATTAAATTATTATATTCAAATGATAAAAAGTAGAAATTAGTAGTTAGTAATTAGTTAGTAATAAGCAAATTATATTTATAAATAATAATAAACAAATAAAGACTAGTAATAATAATTTATTATTATTAGCTATTTTTCCAGACTGTTGCCTTTCTAAGCTATATGAAATACTAATACTTCTATTAATAATAACAAACTACATAATTGTATTAAAATTATTAAACTATGAATTTAAATAAAGTAATTAAAAATTAAACAATAGTAATAATAAAACATTTAATGATAATGATTATTATTATTGTATATTTTGTGTATTATTTTTACCAACCTTTGCCTTTCTTTTTATTACATTTAATTACTATATTAAAATTATTAAATGATACTAAATTATAAATACATAATTAAAAAAAATCTGTAGTGATATTAATCATTATTTTTTATTATTGTTTGCTACTTTTACAGACTTTTGCCTATTAGCTATTTTTTACTTTTGCCTTTTTGCCTATTAATAACAATCATAATACATTAAATAATTTTATTAAAATTGTTAAATTATATTAATAATAAAAAATAAATAAATAAACAGCAGTAATATTTATAATGATAAATTAATTAAATTAGTATATTATTAAATTACATTATTGAATCATTATAAACAAATAAATAAACATTCTATGTATTATTATTATTATTAATACTACTACTACATGTCAAGTTAAAAAGTTTAAAGGGGTCATGAACTGAGAAATCAAATTTCCCTTGATCTTTTGACATATAAGAGGTCAATGTACTATTAAAGGGGTCATATGATGCGATTTCAAGTTTTGCTTTCTCTTTCTTTACATTTCCGACGAGTGCTTGCATTGTTCGGCCAATCACAATGCACTGGGTCAGCTGGCCAATCAGAGCAGACTGTGCTTGTCGGAAGGAGGGACTCAAGTTGTAAAAAATACTCCTTGAATTGCCTTCCTTGTGATCCTAACATATCTAGATCGGACACAGGCGCTGTTGTGTCATGTTGCGAATCAATTTCTCTTTCTGGTCAGAAGTGGCGTGAATGCTTTTATTGCAGAAATAGAGCAGGATATCAGTTTACTGTCGGATAGTCGCGTTTTGCCGCTCGTGTCCGGTGTAAACACGGGGTAAAATTAGCAAAGCACTCCAGACTGCATCAGTGAAACACTGTTTGTTTGTTTGTTTGTTTGCTTTACTTTGCTATGGATTCATCAACAAGACAGTATGATGCAGGCTTTTCAGAGAGACTGAAAGTAAACGATGATGCAGCGCTGAGTCTGACTAGAGTGGATCCAACAGTAATGTCACAACACATACGTGTTTTTACCACCATTACATTGTCTGTTCCAGACCGTTTGATATATACTGTGTGTTGTTTTCAGAGTACGTCACAGCAACGTCTATCTGTTATTTTAACAAGCGAAACTGTTATCCAATCACAGCAGTGGGTGTTTACTTACGACTCTTGAACGTGCCCCACCTATACAAACAGATCGTTCTGCAGAGAGGCTCAAAAACAGGATAGAAAATAGTCTATTACTTCTAAATCATTAGTTTTTCTGATGTAGTCACACAAACATTATAAGTGAACCTCAGAGAACATTATACAATAATAAAAAATGCAGTTTATGACCCCTTTAATTATTATTATTCAACAGTAAAGGCAGTAAACAATTGAATAAACCATGTTGTTGCAAAAGCTCCAGACCTTTGCGTTCTTTGCTTCCATCCTCATGCAGTCTGCTCAACACTCCTTTAAAGATGATGATCTGGGCCCTCTCGAGGTCTGATAAAGCCATGGCTTGTTTGATCGGACAGGGTCTGACGGCCCACTTCACCATGCTGCGCACCACAAACTGCAACACAGAGCGCAGCTCGGCATTCTCCTCCCCTCCAGCAGAGGCCCTCGCTGGGTCGGGGCTACTTACATTGACCACTGCATCTGATTTGGGAACCAGGAGAAAATCAGTGAACTTCCCGCAGCTCAGAATGACAGCCAGAGATTTTAGCGCCCCCAAGAGGAGGTAGGAAATGCGGACTGCACGTAGTTCCAAAGCAAAAAAGTCCACCCTGGGTTGTGGTGCGAGAATTGGTGCGCAGGGGGCGGCAGCAGGCTCCTCGTTTGACTGTACAAGGGGTCTGAACGTGTCATCTTGGTTCTCATGTCTCCTCTCTTCCACTTTATTTCTGTCTTCATCCACCGGACAGCTCATTCCCTCTTCGTCCATCATAATACGTGCAATGTCCTCATCCAAACGTCTCTCCAGCTCGCTACGTGGGCCGCCCTCTGAGCTGATCCGATTCCGTGGCAATCCAGATGTTTCGGATGATCCGGAAGGAGGCTCCTGCTCTTCCAAGATGCCAGTCATCAGGATGAGGTCGAACAACACGGATGGCTTGAGGCCACAGCAGCGGGACATGTCCAGCTGGGGGACATCGCACGGCTCCAGGGAGGAGAGAGGCGTGTCGCTGGGTGACCAAGAATTCAGGAAGCTTTGGGTTAGTGGGACCACAGCAGGTCACAAGCAGTATGAAGATGAGGAGAGGAGTGAGACGGAAGGGGCAAGACAGAAATAAAAGAGTGGAAAGGCAAAGGATACCATGATTAGAAAAAAATGAAGGGGACAAAAGACAATACAAGAAAAGGGAAGTGAAGAAATCGAAACGGAAAAACGAGGCATGCAACTGGCAAAAAGAACAGGACAGGTATAACATACAAAATATACAAAAATTACAATGGCATCTGAACATAGAAACTAATGACAGTGCTGAAATACATTAAGTCATAAGGTACTACAATATTTTACTCTAAAACAAAAAATGAGGAACCTCCTTACTAAAATATATATACTGTACATAAATATGTATTCATACATTTATAATGTGTGAGAAAAACATATTAAGTGTCATATTACAACGGTATCACATTTTTATCAAATTAAATGCTTTTATATGGCCACTGCACTGAAGCAAAACTAAATCAATGCAATATTAATGAGACAATATTTACTTCCAACCACTAATAAAATATTGTTAGATGTAGAAGTCTTGCATATAAAAAAACATTAAAAAATAATATATATAATAAATCTGATGTATATATATATATATATATATATTAGGGATGGGCATTCCAAGCAAAAATAATATTCGAAATTGCTAGGTATTATTCGATTATCACGCACAAACACCCCATAAACAGAGAGAGAGGGAGAGAGAGACGGGATTCACGCTTTCAATCTGTATGACAAACTGTTTAATTCAGAATGATCGTAACGCGCCGAAACATTAATATAATAAACATAACTGAATGACGGTACTTTATAACATAACAGTCCGTTGATTAGCATAAATCAACTGCTCATAAGGCTAGGACATATCCATTTAAAAAAACTGAATCCCTAAAGGGAATAGATATGAGATGGGAGGAAAAATATACTTCAATATCTTCTGTCGCAATTATATCGTTGGGTAATTATACTGTATGTAAACTGCGGGCATCAAAGAGTCGTTATTAATATGCCGGGAATTGAAATATCAACCCGCGCTTGTTTTTTACTTTCACTTTCGAGATTCGCGATCACATACGGAGCAGCACTCGACAGTATTACCACACATTTTACAAGATTAGATGTTTGTCAGTGGTGCTCAGGATCTGCAAATCATTCGCCATCATCCTCTCAGTCATCTCTCCTTACTCTGTTTATGTGGAAAGTGAAATGTTATGTACTGTAATGTAACAGGCTAACGTTAGCAAGCGGTTAACCATGTTCCTTTAGTGGCTCCGTAGAACACGTTATTTGTTTTCTGCGCCTTTCTGAATACGGATTCAGCCACACCTCTAGCCCAGTCGGGAGTGTTTGTGGTCCACACAGAGCTCTTATTTGACATCGTCCCAAATTACTGTAGCCATTATATGCCACGCAAGTCTACAGTGTGCGCGTGAGACAGTGTGTTCTTTTGTTGTCTTTGACAGATTTTAGGTGCATTACTGGCAGCGCCACATGAACGCGTCACCACCGCATCAGCAGGGAAAACATGGGAACATTTTTTAAAGACAATAATCGCACAACATATTTGATATTCTAGAATTAAATCAACTAATCGAATATTCGAAAATCGTGACCCATCCCTAATATATATATATATATATATATATATAAAATCTTACTATTTAAAACTAGAGATGTAAATGTTTACATTATAATAATAAATGTAATAAATTATAATAAAGTTATTAATAAATTATTAAAATAATACAATGAAATACTGTACAAGTTTCAAATTTTAACAGCCAAATAATATCAAATTCAGTAAATGCATTAAAAATTTGTGTTAAATATATTTTATTCATATCTTAAACTAACATGTGAACTTAATGTTGTCAACGACATATAAAATACATTTTGAAGTTTTTTTTCTCTTAGGTTTTTGTTTTGCAGACCCTCAAACACCCCAGTTTGAACCCTTTGCTCTAAGACATTAGAAACATTGAGCGTTTTTACTATGAACTGCATGACAACATTTAAAATGAAATAGGTGGAATTTTATCATTTTATTTTCAACCATTTTATTTCATTAGTTTATTTTATTTTAAGCATCTTATTTTCAATCATTGTTTTCCTTATTTTATAATAAAATGGAAATTAAAATATTAAATGCAATCATTTTAATCTTGCATTTATTTGACTGTCCGTAAGAGTACTGTATAGTGTATATGTGCATTTGTGTACTTACCTCACTGTAAAATCGGTCTCCTCCCACTGAAGCTTAGCCAGGGGGCTTCCCTCTTTCAAGACCCCGAGCAGGGTCGCCCGTCGACCACTGTGTTTGTGCAGGCAGGTCCCTCCAGCACGGAGACCGCTGTCCACCCCTCCAATGAGGGCCATGACAGGCCAGACTTCAGTGCACAGCATACTGAGCTGGCCGTCAGAGAGCCCCGCTGGGCCAGAGAGGTGGTCTGTCGACGTCCCGACATCTACCCAAGCAGAGCCCCTCTCTCTGTTCACCCCACATTTCTCATCGAACTCCTTACTAGCATGACCTGCTGGCAGAGGACAAAATACATTAACCTTTAAAACACAGTTGGCAAACTGACCTACAACAAAAGGCCTTTTCTAAAAAATAAGTAAAGGGAAAAATTCAAAATTGTATACACTCCTGCAAACAAGACAAGTAATCAACATTTTAAGTCCAGAAAAATATGTTTTAAAAGTTTAAAATGTATTTAGAATATATTTAAACGCATTTCGATTTTTTTCAGTATTTTAAATACCTAGTTTATTTCAAGCTTTTATCTATTGTAGCATTTCTATAACACAGTAAAGCTAACAGACAAGGTCTAAAACATTTTCAAACTGATTAATTGCAATGATGCCACCCAAATATATAGACTAATATATAGACTATATATAATATGTGTAATTTTAAGTAAACAAATAAACTGTTTTAGCAGACAAGTTAACTGACCTATCTTGCCTTGTCCCTCCCTCATGAGAGGGTTGATGAGCTGTAGTCTGTTCAGCATGTGCTGGTTGATATGTTGAACCCATTCATTGTTCATGTACAGTTGTCTCAGCAGCTGAATGGTGGACTCCAGCAGAACCGTGGCCCTTGGGCTGCACAAGGGCTCCCCTGGGAGAAGATCGCTAGGCATGCCACGCATCTGCAGGTCACACAGCGCCACCTAACAGCCAATCGAAGAACAGGAAGTTTTTGAAAGTTGAATTATAATACATTATGTAATTGTATAAATTCAATACAATAGACCCAATGGTGTAGAGCTTTAAGAGGCTGACCTTTTCTCCTGGGTTGCTGCTGTAGAAAAGAACACAGGGGTAGAGCTCTGTGGCATCCACTCCTTCAAACGCTAGTTTGGGCTCCTACACACGCATAAAAACAACACAAACAACTCATTTTTTCAGTTTAACCCATATATTTCTATTTTAGGTTCATTACTGTTTTTACATTATTTTATTGTTAGAAAATTATTTTCAATGCGAATGCAGCTTAACTTGCACTTAGCATAATATATTTTTAAAGTTTGTTTGGGAATGCATTTCACATTGTCACACACACAAAAAAAAACTTATACAAAAAAAATTGTAAAGGTGCATAACTTCACAATAATCATAATACTTCAAAGTTAAACAGAATATTCAGCAAGAAATAATGTACAACATGTACTAATCTGTTGGGATTATATTGAGTATTATTTTTCTTAGTATTAACATAAAAATATCGAAATTTTTCCAACCAACGCAAAAACATTTTCCTTCAAAATTGTGTGCACATTTATTAAAATGTCTATTCAAATTATCAAACTCTTTTCATTTTCTTTTCATTCCAACTTTAAATGTTCTACTAGCTCATAAATCAATCAATTCTTTATTTCACAATAATCATAATCAATATGTTATGTTAAACACAGAAGCTCGAGTCAAAAGAACACCACGTTAAAAGCACTATCGGAGCTGAAAACCATGTGACAGCTTCAGTATCTGGTTCAAAAGGAAATTCCAGAGTGGTTTTCCTTACTCTAATATATTATGTTTTTTATTTCCAATAACATAATTTTTCTATTTTAAAATAGATCACAGATTTAACTTATGAATTAATATATCATTGAATTTGTGTTGTTGTAAAATAGTAATCACTTTGCCAATGTAAAAATATTTTTTTAAATAAACAATCATTTGCAGAACCAAAGGTGAAACCAGCGAATGTAACAGGAAAAGAGTTCAATCTAAGGTCATAAACACACACTGACCCTGTTGTTTTTGGCAAAGGAAATTGTTCTAGCTTCCATATCTAGGATGCAGGTGATGGTGTCGCCCTGGGTGAAGGAGGGCAGAGCTCGGCCTAGCTCTCCTCCATGATACAGGCTACCGCTGTAGGCCCGGTACAGCCACATGTCTGTGGTGGTGCGATGGTTGTAGTCCCGGATGGGCCATCGGGACACTCCGATACATGTCCCTTCATTTCCCCTGTTCTCCTTAGTAATATAAAACTAAGATATGGAGACAAAAAAACATTAGAATGCAGACCCTGTAAAAGACCAGGGATACCAGTGACTGTATTTTGTATCATTACCTTCCAGATGAAGCATCCAGACGTGATGGCGGTGGTGGCCAAACCGTACCCTTTTCCTCCCGATCCATGAGAGAGTACATTCCCGCTCTCCAGAGAACAACAGATCAGTTTATGTGGGTCAAAAGAGAAATCACCAATAGGAATACATTCATCTTCACTTCCACTGTCCTGAAAGACACATAAGCACACATAAAACATGCATCTAAAATGCATAGACAAATAAGATTGGGTAAAATTTGCACAATGGACAGACAGAGATGAGTTTAAATACCCTATTTGAGTTCTCTGATGTTCTCTCTTTTTCTAAGTTTTTCCTCAGGGCCAGAGGTTCTTCCCACATGTATGTGGACAAAAGGCTAAATAATTGATCGACAATCTGAAATAAAACAAAAATTACATGGTAAACGCTTATTAAGTCAGAATCAATCAACCATCAATCATTTAGTGTCAGGTGAACAGCATTAAAAAGAAAAAAAAAAACACTTATTTTCTCACTTGTTTCATGACAACTGGGTCTGAACAGGCAGGAAGAAGAGCTTCCAGAATATGGAAGGCCAGCAGCTTCGTCCGCAGGTTGTGAAAGCGTGAATTTCCAGAGCTGCATTTGTATGATATAATTGTCATCAGTGGATCAATCCAATTGACAAATGCTGAGACTCTTTTGGCGACTCTTAGTGACAAAATGCGTCTTAGGAAGACTAGAAAGTCAGCGAGCTGGGACTCCACAACCCTGCTGCTACGAACTACATCTGCACCTAAAATAAAACAAAAAAAGTATAATATAAAATAATTCAGAATAGAATAGAATTCATAATATAACAGTAAACAGTAAAAAAAAAAAAACAACAAAAAAAACTAACATTTTGAAATATTACTACTATTTGAATTTATTTTAAAATGTCATTAATTCCTGTAATGACAACGCTGAATTTTCATCAGCCATTACTCTAGACTTCCATGTCACATGATCCTTCAGAAATGATTCTAATATTCAAAAGTTTGAACAGTAGTGTACATGTATACAGGGCTCGATAATAAGGACTACCTAAAGGCCTGGGGCCAGCATGAAAGACGCTCAGTACAGTTGACAGATTTGTCACTGGCCCAATCGGGCCACTGCTGCGTCTTCACGAAAGTTTATCATTTGCATGTGTTTTGAGAGGGTGGACAGGAGGATCTGATGATTGACAGTGTCAAAAGCAGCAGACAGATCCAGCAGAATATGAACTGATGATTTGGAATCAGCTTTTGCAATCCGCAAGGCTTCTGTGACTGACAGTAGCGCAGTCTCAGTTGAATGGCCACTCCTGAAACCTGACTGGTTAGCATCCAGTTTGTTGTTCTGTGAATGTTGTTATGTGTTTCGCTATGAACAGAAGGAGAGAGACAGGTCTGTAGCTATCTGTAAGTGAAGGAAGAAAGGTTTTTTGAGCAGTGGGGTTACCTGAGCCTGCTTGAATAAAGTGGGGAAAGTGCCTGTGAGGAGAGATGTGTGAGTGCTGGTAAAAGTGTAGGAGAGATTGCTTGGAG